CCCGCCCCCGCCATTTGTCTCTGGATCTATTTTGTTCATCCAATCATGTTGATCATTATATCCCACATATGAGTGGGATATGTGACATTTATCTTTCTCGGACTGGTTATTGCGCTTAGCATAATGCTCTCCAGGTCCCCACATGCTGTTGCAGATGGTGACAGTTCCTTCTTTTTTGTAGCGGCGTAGTATCCATTGTGTCTCATCTTTTTAATGGCTGAGTAGTATTCCGTTGTGTATGTCTACCACTCTTCCTTATCCAGTCCTCTGTGGAAATGTCACCCCAATAAAATTAAATAAGCAAACAAAACCCCAGTATATTCTATTACATAAAAATAGCTTAGTCTTTGCCTCAATGATTTAGTCATAAATTGAGAGAAAATATCCGTTGAAATTTAAATATAGAGTTCATACGCCTGTCTTGTAATGTATATATTTAATTTGTGTATAGAATAAAACACGTTTTAATGAAAGAAAAAAAAAGAGTTTTCAGGGATGTGGCCTTCCCCAGGAAGCCTTTCCTTCAGGAGGCCGGAGCCCCGATGAGGACCCGGATGAAGGCCCCAGTCACAGAGCGAGGCCTGCAGACCCTTCCCTCATCGGCTCTGAGGCCTCCCTGTGAGCTGGTGGGGGGCGGGGGGAGACACCCTGGGCGGAGAGGGCCTTGCCTCAGGGCTGGGCCAGGGAAGGGTCCGCGGTCCTGAGGGGAGTGCAGGTGACCACCCCTGTGAGAGGGCGGGGTGTCCACCCAGAACACAGGGGGCGCCCGAGGTCCCGCCGGCGGTCGGCCTGGAGAGGCCCTGTCCCTTTAACTGCGGGGCAGCGCCCAGCTTCCTCCCGGGGCGCCTGGGAAGGGAGCCCTCCCCTCAGGGGGGTAGAGTGAGAAGGCCCTGGCTGTGGCCCCCATCAAGGTGAGGAGGGGAATGAGGATGAGCGCCCCCCTCAGCGGGCCCCGCCCTCCCCCCTCAGCGGGCCCCCGCCCCTCTCCCCCCTCCCCCGCCCTGCCCCGCCCCTGCTCTCAGGCCTGGGAGACCCTGGGCACCACGCAGGCGCAGGGCAGAGGGAGATTCCCGCCAAGGGTCTCGGGAGGGAGTGGGCCCGGGTTGTGGGGGCGGCGTGTTCAGCAGGGAGACTGAGTAACACCCCAGCAGAGCCAGGTGAGTGGACTCGGGAGGACGCCCGCCCAGGGCCTAGGCTGCTCCAGGCTCCCTGAGGGGCCCAGCATGGCGGCCGGCCGGTGGGGTGAGCCTTCCTGTCCCACTTGGCGGGTCAGGACACCGAGGGCCTTGGCCTGAGGGAAGGGCAGCGCGTCCTGAAGGAAGTCAGGGTGGGAAGTCGGAGGGGCCCGGGGCGGCCCACCCTCAGCGAGGTGGCCGGGACCTTGCAGCTGCCCTCACCCTGGGAGGAGGCCCAGGCAGCGAGGCTATCAGGCCGCCTCTGGGGGCTGGACGGGGCGGGGGCGGGGGGGGTTGTTCTGAGGGCGGGCACTGCCCGGGCCCCCTTGGGGACCAGGCTCAGAGGTCAGAGGGCCCCGGGACCGGCCCACCCTCAGCGAGGCCGCCTCTGGGAGCAGGACGGGGGTTGGGGGCGCTTGTTCTG